CGGTTCGATCCCAGGCGAACCAGCTGGCTGCATGGTTTTTTTTCCCGTTGTGTAACATGAATACGAGCCAGTTTTCTTCAGAAATTAGGCTCACCCGCGGCCGAGCGGTTAATTCTAGCAGGCGAGCACTAAAGTCGCCTATTACTGGTAGTTCAACCTCGGCACATTAGCTGAGTTCAGCTTTGAATGAAAACAACATAAAGTGTTATAATGAATGATTAGTTTCAAGATTTCACTTGATACTGAAATGCATAAAATCAAATTGCGTTTCTACATATCAGATTTATAAAGTACAGCTGATAATTGTAGGAATATCAGGTTCATAAAGTTCAGCTGATAAATACATGAGAAGTGGGAAGGAATTCATAAATTACAGAATTTAATGGTTGTAACGAAAATTTTAAGCACGAACGTTCTTCATAAAGTTATGAAAAAAAAAGCAGTCAGTACCTTTAGTGCGGGTAGTAATCACTACCAAAAATCTATGCTCTTCTGCCAATTTTTTGGTAGTTTTTCAAAACCTTCGGCCCAGAAACTTGATGGCCCGAGTCCAGACACAGGTCAACCTCATTTCGGGCGTCTTGTGCAGAAGTGAAGATAGGACCAGCAAGATGTAGCTGCAAGTGTGAAAAAAAGGTAGAAGTTTGAACATTCGATGTCGAGGTTATACGGTGGGTGTGGTGAAAGATGTATAGATGCACATATGGTATTATCTTGATGGAACGTTACCTTTCTGCGCCGGAACTCAATTTCCGGGAACTCAATTTTTCTGAATTTTCTTCTTTTCCTTGATAGCAGCGTCAACATGCACTAGCATCTCGTTGTATCCTTTACTGTCAAGGGTTTTACCTTTTTCCATATACTATTTGTGATTAATACACGGCAATCCCACCAAATACAAAAGAATGATCTTTTCGTTATTCAAATTACGCTTTACGATGTTGCCGATGGACTCACCGGCGCAGATCAACTAAATTTTTGGCCTATGTTGTTGAAAGAAATTTATTTTTCAACACAAGTGACTATCTGGTCCACAACTTTGTCTTTGCGTTGATATTCAAGAAGAATAGTGCAGGCTCGAACACGTCTGACCTTATCTGCTTGAGTCAGCTCATGCAGCGCACAGCTGACATTTATGTGATGCATAGTGCGACTAATGGAGAGAGACATTTTTATGGATAATACCACGGCAATCTCATCAGATCCAAAGCATGATCTTTTCGTTAGTCAACTTACGCTTTGCAACGCTGCCGACAGGCGCAGACCAGCTCCCTTTTCGGCCTGTATTGTTTGTGTATTGTCTGACCTTATCTGCTTGAGTCAGCTCATGCGGCGCACAGCTGACATTTATGTGATGCATAGTGCGACTAATGGAGAGAGACATTTTTATGGATAATACAACGGCATTCTCATCAGATCCAAAGCATGATCTTTTCGTTAGTCAACTTACGCTTTGCAGCGCTGCCGACAGGCGCAGACCAGTTCCCTTTTCGGCCTGTATTGTTTGTGTAAACTTGTCTAACTTTGAACGAAAAATTAACTATGTATATAACACGCAAAGATATTACAGAACATAAATTTACTCAATTTTATTGGATTACCAGAGGAGGAAAAAATACTCAGATAACTCTCTTAGAATTCATAAACGCTAAATTAAGAATAAATTTTACAAAATGTTTACTAATAAATACAAGTATTTTCAAAAAAAAATTTTCCATCTCTACATATACCACGTTTATCGGAGTGTCGCATTTGACTTTACAATTAAGCTCCGAAATTTCGTTGCTGTAGATAGGATGATTACCAATATAGTTACAATCCTACTAGTAACCAGGGCCACTATTAGGGATTTTTGCTACTCACTACATTATAAAATGACATTTTTGTGAACTTTGTACATATTGTTATAAATTTTGTATTTAGATAGCTCATTTTATAGAATTATAATTCAGATTATTTTATTTTCCCATGCAATGCAACATATGATAAATTTTAAGAGAAAGCTATGCCGAAAAAGTAAAAATATAAGAGCACATGCATTTAACACTGAATAAAAGTTTATCTCGGTAATTTATATTCAATTTGAATAAATGTAATTGACTACTATGTTAGCTGTAGCCGTTAATTCTACTCTTTTGCTTTCCAGAGATCTCAAAAAGCAGAAATTACTAGAATTTTTCGCGACTGATTTAAAGCTATAAAAGGCCAGATGGAGAACATCTCATCTCAGTTATTGTTTAGTTAGCTGCTGTTGTTATTTTTGATCGGATTAGCTTTCTCTGCACAGTGGATTGCGCTCTATTTAACGTTTTAGTAGTTTGAAGGATAACTACTGATTATTATTGCGTGATATTGTACGAATATCTCTGAGGGAAAAATCCAGCATTCTGTTATATTTCTTTTGATAAGAATAAATTTTATTGGACTTGTGCATTAAATCTGTTACAAACTCGTATGCACACAACAATATTTTTGAAGTTGGATGAAGACTTGTGACAAATGAGTGGGAGAAAAATTGCTTATGCTGCTGGTAAAGCAGTTCATTTTAAGTTAGACAATGATGCTTACATCAGTGTTTTACTATTACATGTTATTTCAACAATAGATAAAAATTTGAAATATTAGAAAACAAATAAAATTTTAGAGACTTAAGAAGGGTAAAAAAATTAAACTTGTTGGTATAATTAATTTAAATTGCAGTAACAAACAAACAATTGTGGATTTTGTTATTGCAAATAATAATAAATCCTTACCATTACTAAAATTGTGTGAAATTTAATCTTAAATGTGTTGATAAGATAGGAGTCATCACAATTGAACAAAAGCAGTTTCTACGAAAATAATATTAAAAAAAAATTTGAAGATGAAGGAAAATTTGATGGGATGTGCAGTGTTAAAATTCAAGAAAATTGTAGAGTATGCGACAGTTTGCATCCTAAACCTGAGGAGAAATTGAAACAGCGGGTACAGCAAGGGATTATCTCTAAAGCTAAAAGTCCTCAAGTGTGGATTAATAATTTTATGTAGTGAAGAAGACAAAAGGTTTTCTTAGACTAGATTATCAACATTTCTGCCTTATGCACCAGTTTCACCAATGCTAGACTATCACTTCTCTCTAAGTTTATTTTGATGGCTTTCTTATTGTTGCGAAACAAACAACAGGATGAGATTTTACCTCAAATAATTATATATATAAAAGAGTTAAATGTAAAATTCAGTCAGAATAAAATTTAGTATAAAATACAACAAAATAAAGTATTTGGAACATGTGTTTCATTCTATAGAAATGAAACCAGATCTTGATTATGTCAAAGCTATCATTAGAGTGCCATAGCCAACTAATAAAACCTAACAGCAAATAATGTTAGGCATGATTAATTAAAGGCAATTTATATCCAATTATCAACTATATCAGTTGCTTTAAGAGAATGTCTTAAAAAAAGTGTAACATGGCAATTGTTATCTGCACATTCAAAATCTCTTGCACCTTTGAAAATTATAATTGCTAATGCACCAATTCAGGGTGTTTGATGGTTCAAAACCCATTGTAATACAAGCAGATTAGTTCCAAAGATAGCTCAGGTTGCTGTATATTGCAGGATGGAAGCCCAGTTGCATATGATTCTCTAAGCTTAACTAAAGCAGAGAGAAATTATGCAAAATTGAAAAAGATTTTTTTAGTAAAGTGTTAGCTGTTTCTAAATTCCATTGTTTCATCTATGATCAAGTGGTTGAAGAGCCAACAGATCATAAATCTTGAGCGCCTGTAATGAATAAAAAGTTTGTCACTGAATCAATAAAAATACCAAAAACATAATTGGGAGATGTAACACTTTAGAGATTTAGGCTTACAAAAATGTAAGAGAGTCTTTAATAACATCATGATATCGCATATTTGCCTTATGAAAAAAATTGGGATGGCTACTTAGGAATACAGGAATAAAATTTACCTTGCAATTAAATATTACCTATCAAAAATTAACCAAAGTGGCTGAATGCTCTAAAATTATCAAATAAAATTCCTCAGGATATATCATCAAAACTTGAGTAGTTTTTCCCCCTCACAGTACAGCTAAAATAGTTATTTATGATAATATACATACATTTTTCTAAATAATTTTAGAATTTTAAACAGCAGTCTTAATTACACCAAATTGAATGTATCCACAGAGAAAATGGTTTCGAGAGCTTTAAACATTCTCTGTTCAATAGTAGTTGAGGGTAGATGAAATACATGAAGCCATATTAGAACACAAAGATTTGCTAGAATAAAATATCTCATCTGTACAGACCCTCATAGCTCCTCTCTTCATAAAAAATTACCAGCTACCACGGCAATCTTAAACCAAAAATAATAAAAGGATTTTATGGAACAAGCACACAATAAGAAGGGCATAGTTAAATTTTATCACAATAGACAAGGCAAGGAAGACCAGCTTTTAATCAAGTAAAAAACATGTAGTAATGAGAGGTTATCACTAGGAACTAGCAAAATTATTAAAAAATATTAAACTTCAATATTATACTTTGTAACGACAGAAAGAGGCAGTAAAGCAAAAAGCAATTTGTTTCCACTGAGAAAATGTAGAAGTTCGCATAGATTATTCTGGTATTTTGATGTAGTTATCTTATCCAGGCTGTCAAAGAGAATAATTACATAGCTTAAGAAATATCAATTAAGACGTACACAATGCATTCAAGACTCGAATAATTAGGGTAACTACTTATGCAACTAGAAAAAAGCAAAACTGTGAAACAATTATCTTCATTAAAAGATTTTACTTTATTATAAATTATTAAAAATAATTACAAAAGTTATAAAAGGGGATACATATTTGTGAATTGTATCTGGCTAATATTATGAAATGCATTGCCTGTGGTAAGAGAATATAGTGACTAATGAAATCTAGTTTCATTGTTATAGTTGTCTTGTAATAAGAAGATATTATTAATGTTAATAAATATTTAAACATCTTAGTGAAAATGTAACAGAGACAAAATAAGAAAATGTATGGTTTTATTCTTAAAAACAATAACAAAATTACAATAAGGATTATTCCACTTTATAAAAGGCAAGACTATATCAGACAGTATTTTAGTAATAGTAAAGTGCTTCTTTATTATTATTTTCCTTTTCTAGGATCTTTATACATGATACATATTTACATTATTTTTATGCACATTTTCATTTCTTAACATCTTTTAATAACTATACTGCTAGCCATTCAAAGTTCAACACCCAAGAGAATGCATTCAATTAATCTAAAATTTATATAATATGTAAACAATCAAGAGTAATGTAAATGTAAACAATCAATGTAAACATAAATGATTAACAGTGCAGCATATGCATAAATTATGTGCAATAATATGCTCTGTGTTCATCAACAAACTTTGCTCATGGAAAGATCAAGTAAACCTATCAAAATACACAATAGATTTCAAGCAGTAACAGAGAACTACAGGTTCGAGAGGGTGAATTATTAACCCAAAACACTGTTGCTTGTGTTATAAAGAATGAAGGCATACTGATGAGATGCGTTTTTTGAGAAAGGATGAATCTCCCCACATGAAGGTTCGCAATGCTCATGACATGAGTAAAGAGGAAAATAGAAAACTGGTGCACACGTCTATGTGCAAAAACCAAGACACATCAAATGAGACCAACCTTCTTAGTCTGCACAACTTTTTGTGTGGAACATAATTTTATAGGATTAAGGAAAGCTCACTTTGATTATCTACCTATAGTTAAACCTCGAAACCCTCGTGCAGCTAGCCCATTCTTTGGAATTTGACCCCACACTGAATTATCAATATTCAGTCATCTTTATACACTCTAACTGCTGAGGTGAAGATCCATGAGATGTTGAAATGCCCTACAAAATTTAATTAATTTAGAACCATCAAAGAATTAAAAATGGGTAACTTGTGTTTAAGAAATCTTACTACACTGCTTATAACAATATCAGCTACATACATAAAACAAACTACTATAATGTGACTGATGATTTTGCTAACAGAAAAAACAAGTAAAATAGTACTTAGCTGTTATTTATTCCCCCGTATGTTTTTTTGATATTTTATAAATTTTTTGGTATGCACTGGATGGGGCACAAATAAATCACCCTAGGTGGCAAAAGTTTGAATTATGTAAATGTTACAGTGCAGATTTTTTTAAGCCAACTATTGTCTTAGCAACTACTAAAATGCAGATGATAAGAATACTAAGCATTGGTAAACAACTTGTATCATCTTTTCAAATGAATCAAACATCTATGTACAGCACTATGAGGATGAACCTGTGTTTGATAGCAACAAATAAAGAATTAATGTAACATGCACGATGCAAAGCTATACAGGTCTTGCACTAAATGTTTTCAGTATCATTAATCATTCCAATTACTGAATACAACATCGAGACTTCTAAAATTTGTTACTAAACATTACTGAGGGTACTGGAGCTTGTAATGATACCTATGAATAGCTATAGGGTAACTGAAATGCAAAGTGATGTTACATGCTATATCCAACAATTCAAAGAACAGCCATTATATGGTTATATCACAAAAGCCTATATATTCACTGGATATGATGACTATTGAATATATCAGATTTAATGTAATTAGCACACCAGACACTAATATTTACGACCATGGACATATTTCTGTTTTAAAAGTATACAGATTGACATACTCCACATGTAAATCTTGTACTTTATATACTCTACAAGAAATCCCACAACAGTGACCATTATTACTTATTATAGTTAAATGAAAGCCTGGTACTTTGTAGTCCACAAATCTACTAGAAATATCTGAAAAAAGTGATTCCAAAAACTCACTTCTATATTTTGCAGAAAACTTCAACATTTTTTAATAATGTTTATAGATTCAACTTCTTTTAAACAAAGTGACACATCTTCAATGCATGTAATTTGTTTCCTTGAAATGTAAACTTGGACATCTCTTAGGAATACCTTGATTGGAGAAAAAAAGAATGTAATACACAGTGATCTCAAACATAATTTAAAGATAAGATTTTATAATATATGGGGAAAATAAATTAAATAAAGAGATAAAATTTACCTTTAAACTCATATCTTTTTCAATAATTATTCTTTTTACACAGGTATATTTTAGAGTCCAGCGAGCACATATAATAAATTCACCCACAAAATTAATGGTCCACAATGAATTTGGTTTCAAAATTGATTGCAGACTATCAATCAAAGCTGCAAAAGTATAACTGCTTGTGGAAACAATGGTGATGGTGTTATTAAAATTAGATACTTCTTTTCTTTTCGTAGTTTGAACAAATTTTTGAGATGAAAGTCCTTTACTTCTTTTTTTCTTCTTTTCTGACGATTTTAAATTATGAGACCCATATGGGAAAATGGAAGGTATTGCATCTTCACGAAGCCTTGGGACTCCCATTTTCAACCGTGATATTGTCCCATCTGGTAATTTTGTTTCATAAAATCTTCTTATGTCCTCCTTTTGAAAATGAAGTTCACATACAACATCATATGGTGTGATCATTTTATCCCCACGGCGAATTGCAAGAGCCCATTTTTTTAGAAGAAGAGGATCCTAAAAAATTTAACAGTTCCTATAAAAATCTTTCAGCACACACACTCAACAAATAAAGAATAAATACCATGCACTCAATATAAAATAATATCCAATGCTAATTTAAATTTATTTGGTACTTTGATTATCGGCACCCTTACAAAAAGTAGCCTATTTATCATTAGTGGCTTTATGAATTGACAAAAAATGTTCGCATGGCTAACGTTATGGTTCATAGGTACTGTTTGTTCTGTTTATAAATAATATTAAAAAGATTTTTTTTTTTTTTTTGTAAAAAATGAGAAATTTTACAAGAAAAAAAATTACATGGCCAATATTTATATTACAGATGGTGGAATGATGGTTAAATATAAGAATGTAAAAACACATGTGTGGTACACACACGCGTAAGTTGTTTGCTATACATGTATACTCAAAAATGTACCAAAAACATAACAGTTCTGCTGAAGTTGAAACAGAAGGTTTAGATAATCAGAAAGTACCATTTATTTTAAAGCATCTATTTGATACATTCTCAATCAAAAAGTGATATATGTGTCAAGATTATTGTAATCTTAACTTAAGAAAAGTGTTTAATTCTTACTCAAGCATATTTCAAGATATTATGATTCAGACCATGTTACTATGATAGCAAAACAAATCACCTGATATCATTTTTTCCCCCCTGGTGTATACACAAGTTATGTTTAAAGCTTAAATAACCTGCATTCTTATTAAATGTACAACACTATTATGTTTAAAGAAAGGCTAAAATAATATAATCAAAAATAATCTGTTGTTTAGCAAAAATGCTAATCGTGTCTCAGAGATGCATTGGACACAACATGAAGACTGACACACAACGGGAACCACATTTCAAAATCTTAATCCTCACAAACAATATAAAAAAAACTATATGCTACTTTATTATATACAAAAACTGTCAGATGTAAAATGTCATATTGTAAGGTTGGCATCTGCTAACAACATAATCTTGAAATATTAGCGATTTTGTATAAGCACCATAAATTTTTTTGTGTGAAAATGTCACGTTTTGAGCCAAATGAGCACCATTTGTGAGAACTTTTGATTTCCTTCTCTAATCTGAAGAAATCTGCAGCTGGGGAACATCAGTTGCTTGTAGAAGCATATGGTGAGGCTAACCTAAGTGACAGAAGTTGTCATCAAAAGTTTAAGAATGGTGAAATTGATGTTGGAAACAAAGAACAGAGCAGAAGAATGACAGTGTAAGCGGAATTGGAAGCATTATTGCACCCAGATTCGTGTCAAATGCAGAGTAGAGTAGTAGAGCTTGCACTTATATTAGGAGTGACTCAACAAGCAAATTCACATAATTTAAAATCATTGGGAATGTTTAAAATACAAGGAAATTGGGTTCTATATGAACTGAAGGCGAGAAACATTAAACACCGATTTTTCACACATGAAATGCTGCTTGCCAGGCATAAACAAAAGGGGTTTTTCATTGTATAGTCACTGGTGATGAAAAATGGATCCACTATGTTACCCCAAAGAAAACAAAATCATGGGGACCACCTGGCCGTGCTTCAACATCCACAGCCGAACCGAATATTCATGGTAAAAAAATCATGTTGTGCATATGATGGGATCATCTTAGTGTTATGCATTATGAGCTGCTCAAACTGAACGAAACCATTACTGGGGGCTCTCTACTGAACACAACTGATGAGAATGAGCTAAGTACTCAAAAAAAAAAAAAAAAAAAAAATGCACCCACTACTACTCCAGACATGACAACATTATTCTCCTGCATATAATGCTCATCCACATGTTGCAGTGCCAGCGAAAACTTAGTCAAAAACAGTCAAATGAGAAGTTTACCCTTCCCACTGTATTTACCAGACATTGTTCTTTCTGCTTATTATTTCTTTTAGTTGGTGACACATGACCTATCTGAGCAGTACTTCAAATGATATGAAGATAAACACAACTGAGTCGATTCATGGATAGCCTTAAATGATGGAGCATTTGTCCGAGGTGGTGTCCGTATGCTGCCAGAAAGATGGGAGAAAGTAGTGGCCAGATATGGAAAATACTTTGAATAAAACATAATGTACCTTTCTTTCACAATAAATGCCCAATTTTTATAAAAAAAAAAAAAAAAAAGACTTATTTGTACTCTCAATAACTTGTTAAATACGCTGACTTTATTTCATACACAATCTATTTTTCATTACAATCATTTCATGTATTTGTGCAGTTTCACTACATGAAGCAGGCTTGTTAATCATAAACCGCATTTCATGATCAAACGGTTTTTGACACCAGGGTGCCTAGGCATAATGCCTTACCTCCATATAATCCTAGATGCTCACTCAAAATGGCTAGAAGTCTATCCAATGAAATCAAGATTGACTTTCAAAACATTCTATCAAAACAATACAATGTTTACGGGACTTTTTTGCACAATTCTGGTTACAAATATTGTTAGTGAGTGATAACAGACCACAATTCACTTCGCATAGGTTTAAGATATTTCGGTTGCAGCTAGATAAATGAATCAACTGAGCAAAATCTCAGCACCATTTAAACGATCCTTAAGAACAATGAGAAATTATCCAGGAACTCTGAGAGAAAAACTCAGTACATTTTTGATACAATATAGAAAAGCTCCAAATTTAACTACTCTACAAAGACCCTGCAATGTTAATGCTGAAGAGGGAAATTCGAACAAGAACATATTTATTTAGATCAGTTTTCAAAAGGAGGGTGGAAAACAGAGTTTCAAAAGGAACCTATCAGTCTGCAGACCGAGGATTTGGGATTGGCGACAAAGTGGCAGTAAGAAATTATTGCCAATGGTAACACATGATGGAGATTTGGTATCGTCCGAATCCAAAGAGGGTTCAGATTCATTACACTATAAAAGTAGACGGTCAGCTGTGGAAGGCGAACATGTCGACCAGATGCTGTGATGGAATAACCATAACTGATGAGGGGTTCATACGTCCACCTCAGTTCTCGTGATTCAGAAAGACCCTTGATAAGAATGCAGAGTTCCAGAACCATCCAAAGATAATAGCCACCAGACAGATGAGTTTGTGCCATCTGTCTTCCGTGCCAAAGATGTTACCAGAAGTTTCATCTACTGGAACCTGCTGCTGATACAATCAGGTTATCAAAGAAAACAGAAGTGCCATACAACCTTTGTGTCGGTCCCAGTAGAATTCGACGTCCTCCCTTGATAGACTGCAATTGTGATAAAGGAGGAGGGATGTGGTGTATTGAGAACTTAATCATAATCGAACTTGGAACTGACATGTGCATCGAGTAGCGCAAATTGAGTGTTGACGTGGACAGACTGTAAGTGCTGGCCGCTGAAGCTGTACGTGTGTATTTGTAAGCTTTTATGTGCAGTGTGATGTGTTTTGTATATAATAAAGTAGCATATAGTTAAATACAGTGTCATGTGTAATAAATACCCACTAAAGACAGGGTGAACAGAATAAACAGCAGCAATTTTGTTTACATTCACTTCAATTTTCCATTTAGCTAGCCAGGTATTTAATGCTTGTAAGTGATTTGTTCAGTGTTGGATGACTGAACTAACAGATGCACTTTTTGAAGGATTGCTGTGTTATCCACATACATTGATAATATTGGTGTTGGGTGTACCAGGAATGTCTTTCATATAAATACTGAATAAAGTGAGCCCTAAGAGGGACCCTTGTGGCATACCTGTATTAACAGCACAGCAGGTTGAACATGTGTCTAAGATATGAATGGCAAAATGTCTACCTGTGAGGCAAGATTTAATTATGTGTGTAATGTAACCTGGGAATCCTAGATTGTGCATTTTGCAAATGAGTGTGCCTATCCAAACATGATCAAAAGCCTTGGCTTGTTCTGATGAATCGTCCAGTAATTCTTTTGGATTGCAGGCTCTCAGAAATAAGCTCTACAATGTTCGTATAACTGGTTGGAGGTCGACAAATAAACAGCATTGTGTAATTTTAGACTTATTATCAACACCTACTTAAAAAGACATGAAAAATAAAGGTACTTGTCTTCTGTAATGGCCTTGGCAAAAAAAAAAGAATTTGGCACATTTCAACATTGCGGGGAAACAAAGAGTTACCAAGCAGCACCTGTGTGAAAAATAAATTGTTAACAATTTAACCTTTTTTTTTTTTTTTTTTTTTTTTGTAATAGCATTGTTTCAATATAGTGGCTTTTCACTGTAAAATATGCATTATAATTGTGAATACTATTTTCAATTCTCATCAATGGCAAAGAAGCACTAGTTGATGTCTGAGGCATTATTAGCAGTAATTGCTGAATGAGTCTGTAGAAAAATATATTTTCTGAAATGTTGAAGCATGTTACATTAAATAAACCCATAATAATTAAATTAAATACAACAATAAATACAAATTTATGTTAAATTGCCCCCATACGTGAACTTGTACTGCCAATGGCAGAGTAGGTCATGGATAATTGTTATATGCATATAATAAATAAATTGTGTTACACAGATAATGGGTTTTTATCTGCAAAGAACCCATTGGCAACAGTGCGTTTTTTTAGCCAAGCTCACTGATAGTACAGGTTTTAGCGATATATGGTTCAGTGTTGAAATAAAACATGATATAAAGCATACATAAGTCAAATATAGCATTTTAAACGTGATATTTAGTGCATAGCATAATATTAAGCACACATAAATTAAATATATTAACCACACATTAAGTCACATTTAGTTTGTTAAACATAATTAGTACAATTAAATTCAGGTGGGTAAAAAAGCAGGATGTTATGCATATGTAAGTGAAGATTTCATTGCTTTTTTTCAGAATTTTATGCATATCATAAAGTAAATTGCAGAAGACACATTTCCCTAAAAGGATAAAGGATAATCTTTAATTGCAGTTAAAATTTCTCTGAATGGGTCTGCCTTTATATTTAACTTCACACTGAAATAGATATTTGAATATGTGATTTGCTAGATTATTCTTTTGAAGACCACTTTTTTTTTTTTT